TATTATTTTTTTTTTTAAGTATATTTTCAGTGGTTGCAAAGTAAACAAACATCAAAAAGAATTTGTCCGTCAACATTCAAAAGAATAAATGAAAAAACAATCAAACAAACTAAAAAACATCGGCTGTACATCCGCAGTGAAACCCATAATGATAATGACTGTAATGATTCTGAGTGATGTGATGAAATGGGTTCTTCTTCTTCTTCTTCTTCTTCTTCTTTCTTATGTGTTAGACCCTGAATTGCACAATATGAAAACTGTGAGAATTTCTATCTTTACATTTTAAAATACATATACGTCTATTTATCTTCTCTGAGATATATTGTAGCCTACCTAATAAAACATGCTAAAACTATAAGTATTAGAAATAAATGAATAAATAAAAAACATAAAACAGTACACGCACACGTGTTACTATAGTAGGCTACGCAAACTAATGTTATTTTTTTTAATTTCCTTTTCGTTTTATTTTATAATTGGTAGCTTTGTTCTGTGTTGGGTATTTTACGTATATAATATATTATGCAGTCATAATCACAAAAATATATATTAACTCGGAATTTTCTTGACGAGTCAAATGTGTGTAACTAAAAGTATAACAATTAAAATGCCAATTAAAAGTCGAATTTAAATATTTTCATGAATCTCTTTCCCCCACACTGCTTTTTTAGATCATATTTACAAACGTTAATTTTACCCAAATACATATAGATCATAGGAAAGAAATCTTACCCTCTCATATTTCTTTAGCGCCATCTTTTGGAATTCCCTCCCGCTAGAACAGAGTATCAATATCAAACCATGTTATCGATAAAACAATACTGAATGATCATTTAAAACAACATTAATTATAGGCTAATAAGAAAAAATCCGTAAGCCCGAAAACGAAAGTAAGTCGAAAACGTTCAAAATAATTTGTTACAGTCTATAAATCCTTTTTGGCTATATGGTTTATTTAAAATGTACACAATAATAATAATAATAATAATAATAAAAAGGTTAAAATAAGGAATGCAAAAAAAGTAATTATACCTTAAGCTAACCTTAGACCTGTAAATGCCTCTTATAAAGCAATTCAACTGCATATGTTTACCAAGTGTACACAAGTGTGGGATTTAGAGAAATGTGTAGAGATACAGAGAGATAATTAAAATGTTCCTAGCGATGTATTTATATCTAATCTCTTAAAAGCTTTTTTTTTTTTTGGTTTTCTCTAGACCAGCCAGTGATCTAAGTGTGTCTCAATACACAGCATAATGTTTTCTTTTCTCACAATTCCCATCAGACCTTCGGCCAATAGATGTGGTCGAGCAATGTCCGAGGCTATACAAGAGGGCTGGATTAGTGCCCAAGGGACCTTCACTGTCACACACCTGCTGCAAGCCCATGGCACACTGCCAGCTGAGGTCAGTTAGCCCGCCAGGCACATTACCCTGGCAGCAGTTGCCAAGGTGACAGCATGTCAGAGCCTGCCCATTGAGGAGTATGGAGGGCTGACACCCAACGCATCACTGCCTCTGACCGGCCCCTGGAACTTGAGGAAGTGGGGGACCGAAGACAGACATTCAAATGCTTAGCAACAAACTGACTCTACACGTGGCAAGGGCCAGTGCGCCAGTGCCTAAATCCTTAGAATCTCCACATTAGTGCTAATATGTGGTACTAAGTGAGTCTAACACACTTTCCAGCTCAGACGTCGCCAGTTTAGAAGTGCTTTGAATGATAACAGTTAATTCAATAGGCAACAATCTTAAATATGGATATGAGTGTGTGAGAGAGAATGAAAGACACAAGTAGAGAACAGGAGGTGAAAGGTGCTTCTGCTTTTGTTGTAGCTATCGCATTAACTGGAGGATGTGAAGCAGAGAGGAAATAAGCTGTGGGCTCTGTGGTTTAATAGATTACTTACAATTGGACACAGGTATTTGGAGTTAGCCATTATACCCGAGGCCCAAAAAAAGGTAAAAGAAACATCATGATTCAACAAAATCCGCCACCGC